CAGGTGTCATGGACTGGAGACCTGTCCAGGTGTCCCTGTGATAGACTAGAGACCTGTCCAGGTGTCATGGACTGGAGACCTGTCCAGGTGTCCCTGTGATGGACTGGAGACCTGTCCAGGTGTCATGAACTGGAGACCTGTCATTGTAACTGTGGTGGACAGGAGACCTGTCCAGGTGTCTCTGTGATGGACTGGAGACCTGTCCAGGTGTCCCTGTGATGGACTGCAGACCTGTCTAGGTGTCTCTGTGATGGACTGGAGATCTGTCCAGGTGTCTCTGTGATGGACTGGAGACCTGTCCATGGTGTCCCTGTGATGGACTGGAGACCCATCCAGGTGTCATAGACTGGAGACCTGTCCAGGTGTCCCTGTGATGGACTGGAGACCTGTCCAGGTATCTCTGTGATGGAGTGGAGACCAGTCCAAGTGTCTCTGTGATGGACTCGAGACCTGTCCATGGTGTCCCTGTGATGGAATGGAGATCTGTCCCTTTGATGGACTGAAGACCTGTCCAGGTGTCATGGACTGGAGACCTGTCCAGGTGTCCCTGTGATAGACTGGAGACCTGTCCAGGTGTCATGGACTGGAGACCTGTCATTGTAACTGTGGTGGACAGGAGACCTGTCCAAGTGTCTCTGTGATGACTGGAGACCTGTCCATGTGTCCCTGTGATGGACTGCAGACCTGTCCAGGTGTGTCTGTTATGGACTGGAGACCTGTCCATGTGTCCCTGTGATGGACTGGAGACCTGTCCATGTGTCTCTGTGATGGACTGGAGACCTGTCCATGGTGTCCCTGTGATGGACTGGAGATCTGTCCGTGTGATGGACTGGAGACCTGTCTAAATGTCCCTGTGATGGACTGTAGACATGTCCAGGTGTTTCTGTGATGGACTCGAGACCTGTCCATGGTGTCCCTGTGATGGAATTGAGATCTGTCCCTGTGATGGACTGAAGACCTGTCCAGGTGTCATGGACTGGAGACCTGTCCAGATGTCCCTGTCATGGACTGTAGACCTGGCCAGTTGTCTCTGTGATGGACTGGAGACATGTCCAAGTGTCCCTGTGATGGGCTGGAGACCTGTCCATGTGTCCCTATGATGGACTGGAGACCTGTCCAGGTGTCATGGACAGGAGACCTGACCAGGTGTGTCTGCGATGGACTGGAGACCTGTCCATGTGTCCCTGTGATGGACTGGAGACCTGTCCAGGTGTCTCTGTGATGGACTGGAGACCTGTCCATGGTGTCCCGGTGATGGCATGGAGACCTGTCCAGGTGTCATGGACAGGAGACCTGACCAGGTGTGTCTGTGATGGACTGGAGACCTGTCCAGGTGTCCCTGTGATGGACTGGAGACCTGTCCAGGTTTCCCTGTGATGGACTGGAGACCTGTCAAGGTGTCCCTGTGATGGACTGGAGACCTGTCCAATTGTCTCTGTGATGGACTGGAGACCTGTCCATGGTGTCCCTGTGATGGACTGGAAACCTGTCCCTGTGATGAACTGGAGACCTGTCCAGGTTTCCCTGTGATGGACTGGAGACCTGTCCAGGTGTCTTTGTGATGGACTGTAAACCTGTCCATGGTGTCCCTGTGATGGACTGGAGACCTGTCCAGGTGTCATGGACTGGAGACATGTCCAGGTGTTTGTGATGGACTGGAGACCTGTTCAGGTTTCCCTGTGATGGACTGGAGACCTGTCAAGGTGTCCCTGTGATGGACTGGAGACCTGTCCAATTGTCTATGTGATGGACTGGAGACCAGTCCAGGTGTCCCTGTGATGGACTGGAGAACTGTCCAGGTGTCCTTG